TCAAGAGTCTGATGGTATCTCTTTACATGTTTGTGGATGTTACGCTATGGAGTTCAACTATTTTATATCCACATTACGCATTACATACTAAAAAAGTTTAAGACAAAATTGGAACCTTGGGTTTAACTGTTTGTACTGATAACTTAATGAGTAAATTGAGCTAATTTTCCCACCACTACTTCAGCTGAATTGTTTTGAAAGGAATGGCCTCTGGGAACTGAGTTCTCATATTCATCATAGTAAGGATACTATGATGTCACTTTCATTTTTGATCATGGTCCTACACAGTGTACTAACATCTCACTAAATGGTTCCTCAAAAATTGGCATGGGTATTAAAAATGCTGGTTTGAATGAATGTTAAGGTTTTCCCACCATTTGCCAGGTATGGCAGTGGAAATGCTTCAGCCTTATCTTTTGCATTATTGAAGGTGAGAATATTTGTGGAACCTCCTCTGCCAGTGAGTTATTTAGTTGTCCACCACCTTCATGAATAGATGTCGCTGGACTTGCATCTGATCTTTAGTTTGTGGGATCACTTCACTGTCTATAACTTGCAGCTTGTGTTTTGTAGCTTCACCTGGTTAACATCTCATTTTTAGTTACGTCTGGTGCTTCTTCTGACATGCCCTCCTGCACTTACCATTGAACAACTGTTGAAACCTAACTTGATCAGAATGGTAGAGCGAGGGATATGCTGGACCAGGAGGGTGCAGATTACATCAATGATACCAAATCAAGATCCTATCTCTATCTTAAATACACTCAAAGACTTGGCCTCCACAGCCCTCTGCAGCAATGAGCTCCACACATTAGAACTGAAATGAGGAGGAATTTCTTCAGCCAGAGGGTTTTCCCTTCACTATGAGGCTGTGCCCTCCGGTCCGAGTCACTCCTATTTATGGAAACATCCACTTCAAGTCCACTCTATCCAGGCCATTCAGTGTCCTCTTAAATTTCAATCACATTCCCCCTCATCCTTCTAAACTGCGAGTACAGATCTAGAATCCATAAATATCCACCACATGGCAAGCCTGTCATCTCTGGGATCATTCTTCTAAATCTTCTCTGCATCCGTTCGAACACCAGCACATCTTTCCTTAGGTAAGAAGCCCAAACTGCTCACAATATTCCAAACATGGTCTGACCAGAGCATTATACAGCCTCAGTACATCTCTGCTCTTGTATTCTCGTCCTCTTGAAACTCATGCGAACATTGTATTTGCCTTCCTGACTGTCAATTGAACCTCCATGTTCACTTTAAGAGAATCCTGAACTGGGACTCCGAAGTCCGTTTGTGCTTCAGACTTCCAAAGCCTTGCCCCATATAGAAAATAGTCTATACCTCTATTCTTCCTATTGAAGTGCATAACATCACACTTTCCCATGTTGTATTCCATCTGCCACTTCTTTGCCCACTCTCCTAGCCTGTACAAAACCTTCTGTAGCCTCCCCGCTTCCTCAACATTACCTGTCCCTCCACCTGTCTTTGTACCATCAGCAAACTTAGCAACATTCAACTGAATGATTTAAAGCCCAGGGTCAGGGGCTCAGAACAAAAAAGTGACATCACAGGTAAACCATAAGTTCATTGGTTGGCAATAGCTACTAATTTGACCATCAATAATAGGTTGCTTTCCAATTGAAGACAAATGGGGGAAACATTCACAGGAAGCAAGAATCTCAAACCTGTTAGACAAGCTCAAGGGCAAGGCTCCTTCAGTACTACCTCCCGAATCCCTCTGTTGCCTCAGTGGCGGTCCCTGAGCACTGACCAATTTCGAGGTAGCCAATCTAAGTGATGTGACTGCCTCCCGAAATAACTCTCTCCCTCCCTGATGAGTCAAAGTGTTCAAAGCTTAGATTCCAGCTCATCAACTCTGAGCTGGAGTTCCTCAAGCAACCAATACTTGCTACAGATGTGGTCATTATGAACCACAATGGGGTCCACAGCTCCCACATCGTGCAGGTACAACAGTTCACCTGGCTGTCATCTCTATTTTAATTACTTGGTTCTTAATTCGATTTTTTTTTTTTTTTAAAAAAAGAATTTCATACTGGTCTTTTATTTTGTAACCTGTGAATGTTTCCCCTATTTGTCTTCAATTGAAAACAACTTATTATTGATAGTCAAATTAGTAGCTATCGCCAACCAATGAACTTATGGTTGACCTGTGATCTCATTTTTGTTCTGAGCCCCTGACCTTGGGCTTTAAGACATTCAGTTTAAAAAAACCTTTCAGCCAAAAAAAACCAAGAAGTATCTCTTCCCATATGGCTTCCAAATTCCCTGAACCATATATTCACTTGGGCTTTCTCTCACTCTGGATGTGATCTCTCCTTCCTGATCATGTGAAGCTAACTTCCACAGAACCAGTCTAGCAGACATGTCTTTTAGAATTCAACCAAGCCAGACAGTAGTAGTACTGCCGAGCCACACTGTGCTCCTCCTAGCAACCAAGTGCTGTTCAACATGGAAGAGCATTGATTCATCATCTGGGGCAGCAATGGGAGGGGGAAGTCAGCAGGAGGGTTCCTTGCCTATATCTGACCTGATGCCATGAGACTTGATGGTATTTGTCATCAATGTTAAGGACCCCGACAGCAGCTCCTATTTAACTGTAAAGTACTGAGCCACCACTCCTACTTGGTCTGTCCTGTTGCTAGGACAGGACATACCCAGGAATGGTGGTGATTTTGTGTGCAAGACATGATTTCATGAGTCTTACTACATCAGGCTGTTCCTAGTCTGTGAGACAGGTCTCCCAATTTTGGCGCTCACCCCAGGTGTTAGTAGGGAAGACTTTACAGGGTCAATAGAGCTGTATTTGCTGTAGCCATTTCCGAAACCTTAGTCAATGTCAGATGGTCTGTCCAGTTTCATTCCCTTGCTCCTTTCTGATAATTGATACAACTGAATGATTTGCTTGGCCATTTCCACGCAGTTAAGAGTCAACCACATCACAGTGTTTCTGGAGTCACTTGTAGGCCACACCAGGCCAGGTAACAAAGGCAGTTTTCATTCCTTAAAAGGACAATAATGAACTGGTATGTTTTTATTCTAATCGATGATGTTCCATAGTCATCATTTGACTTCTAATTCCAGATTTTTATTCAATTCAAATTCCAACATTTCCCATGGTGGAAGTCAAACCCAGATTCTCAGAACATTACCAAGATCTTTTATTACTAGCCCAGAGACAACACCACTCGGTCATCACCTAGCACTTTTTGACTTAAAATTATCTATGTTAATGCTCTCTCTCCTCATTTAAAGTGCTATTCCTTTTCACATCCCTTCCTGGCCAATTCTCAAATAATTGTGTTCCTTCTGACATCATCTAAGTTACATCATTACATCATCAGTGAAGCCCCAGATTGCGCTGCTGGATTTGGCACTAATGTGTCCATGTCCTGCAACCGAAGATTTTTTTTTAAATGCAATCCCAATTTTAAGTAAGGATACGCTGTACAGATTTCTATCAACATCATGTCGTTGGCAAATTCCTTAAAGTCCAAAAAGTCATTTAATTCAGCCCAGTGAACTCCACTTGTGATATCATGCCAACCCAAAAATGTCCCTTTTATGCTTTCCATTTGATACCATCTCTAACTTCTTCAGTTAGTTATACATGATGCATTGTGCCTTGGAGTCCCTTTTTTCCTCACTAGAATGTACGTTTTCTGAGGATTCTGATATATCTCCTTTAATCTCTGCTGACCTATTCCATTACTTACTTTCCTCATTCACTTTTGTCAGGTGTCTTCATGCCCTCAAAATTGCCCTTACTTTAGCTCAGAAATTATATTCACTCTTCTCTCCCTCAAACTGAAAATAATATTCGATCATATTATCACTGCTTCCCAGGGGCACCTTCACTGTGGGGTTATTAATGAATCCTGTCTCAATACACATCACCAGATCTAATGCACTCTGCTTTCCGGTTGGCTCTAGAACATGCCACTCCTACCTTGAAAACATACCAACTCAGTGGCAAGAGCAAGCTGAACAATCTGATTCATCCAAACCATATGCAAATTAGACTGCCGATAATAATTGGCATTCTTTTCTCACAAGTCCCCATTACTTCTTCCTTTATACCCCACTTTAGTGCAGTTACTGTTGTGGGATCTATGTACCAGTCCCACGAGCAACACAGTACTTTCATTATTTCTCATCTCTACCCACAATAATTCTACATCTTTATCTGTAGAATTAAGGGCATCTCTGTATTCTACCAATGTCAAACTTAATTAGTTAGGGTTACACTTGTACATTTTTCTAGCTTCCCACTGTTCCTAAATACCATATACCCTTGAATATTCAGGTCCTAGTCTTTGTCATCTTGCAGCCAATTTGCAAGACCACCAGACCATAAAAAATTATTTTAATTTGAGTCAATTCAATGGTTTGTTGTAAATGTTCCATGCATTCAAATAGAACCCATAGTTTTATCCTTTGACCATATTTATAATCTGTGACCCTATTCACTTAGGGTCATACAACATGAAAACAGGCCCTTGGGTCCAACCAGTCCACATTTGCATGAAGATTTGTACACTCTATCCTGAATGATAATTAGATCATCGATTACTATTATATTCTCGGTATGACAGAAAATAACAATATGGAATTTCTAGTTTCGCTATTTATTTGATGATCTCTAAGATGCCAAGTGGAGTCATGAGGAGCATCCTACAAATGATCATAGTAGGCAGGGTGATGGTCTTGGACCAGATTCAGTGGATCATTGTGGTGTATTTTTAAAATATTGGTTCCAATGAAAGCAGGGACAAAATTTTGTTATCAACAACTTTTACTATAACTTTAAACAATGCTTACATTCTCAGATCAAATCAAAACTCCAATGCACAGTCTCCTTCATCAAAACATTATTTACATTCCAACACAGCTAGAACACATTGGCCGCATGAAGGCTACAGACTGTAAAAAGAAAAGTCTAAGGACTAGTTAGAAAATGAATGAGCTTATGTACTTACCAATTCTATTCCCTGTGGAAAAGGTGCATCATCCCAGTCTTTTTGTGGAAAACGTTGAATTATCTTCCCTGAACCTTCAACAGAACCTGAAGGCAAAAGAAATTAACATGTAACTGAAAATGCATTACCATAATACCACTTGCTATGGAAAGAAATCCTAGAACTACCACCAATTTTAATTAAGTTCAATCAAGTTTTGGGCCTTTATTAGTTCCATTATGTTTTACAAACCTGTTATTTTCTACTCATGACTCCTCTACGTCATCTGCCTGCCAAAAAATTCAGCTAATAAATATTGGTAGCAGAAGGTAACTTTAACCATGACAATGACCAGTAGCTGATCTATGAACTTGCTTATAGAGATTCAAATATTGCCATATCGCAAGCCAAGATGCTTTGTTAATGAAGTTTGAATGGAATAGGAGTGGAAAGAATCTGTAAGATCTCTGCAAGAATTGACTGTTTTGGTTAGAATTAGAATTTTACAGTACAAAAGGCGACATTCAATCCATCGTGTCCATACTGGCTCCCAAAAGAGCTACCCAGCTAGTTCCACTCTTGAGCACTACCTTCCCGTAAAACAAAGAAAAACTAGGAACTACAAATTATTACCTATTACCTAAAAATATATCTGCCCCTGTTAGTACCACAGAGAACTAATAAACCTCACAATGAGAGCTTCTTCACATTCTATTTGTTGTCTTTTACAATGAGCACAAAGAAAAACATTTAGGAAAAAAATGAACCTTTCCTTCTTTACAATACATTCGTATCTCAGCAATCAGCCAATGCTTGTTGACAATATCTTCCAAACTTACAACTTCAGTTAGCTAGAAGGACAAACACAGCATGGGAAGACCATCACCTCCAAACTGCTCTTGGCATCACATACAAACCTGACTTCATTGCCATTCCTTCATTGTAGCCAGATCAATATCATGGAAATTCCTTGCAGCTGGAATAACTCTGACACGTGGAAATGGAGCCACAGATACGAATGATTGCATCCTGGTGCCATGATTGCAATTACCAAAGCAACAGGTGACATAGTTGTGTCTTGGCTCGCTTGATGAAGCAGAACCTCCTCCTTGCACATACGCCTGAGTGAACAGAAAGCATGAAGTTTTTCACATGTAAACTTCAATGGGGTAATGCTGCCTTGGCCTACTCCCCTTCACCCAGCTGCTGCATATCTGCAGACTCTTAGCCAATTTTCTAACTTCTCCCAGTCATAGCGACAACCTAGTATAGCCCCGTTGGCTGGAGACCTGGTTTGTAATGCAGTGATGCCAACAGCATGGGTTCAATTCCCACACCAACTGAGGTTATCATGAAGAAATATACTGCTCAACCTCCCTTTGCCTGAAGCATTGAGACCATCAGGTTAAACCACGATGTCATCTCTCAAGAGAGACAGCCCTACGGTCTGGTAAGACTACAGTGACTTTACCCTTACATTTCATTAAAGTCTAAGATCAGTAAATTTTGATTTCCAGATTATAAGATAATACCTGACTTTAAGTCCTTTTTCAATGCTTGGTTTAGTGACAAAACTACTTTTTTTAAAAAAAACTGAGTAGAAAGAAGACATTGTCCAACTTTAGAGAAAGCATATTAAAGCTTCAAATTAAAAAAGTATGGCATTACATAAATACGTGCATATAAATGAAAATACCAGTACACAAACAAGTCATTCAGCTGAACAAGTCCATACCAGCATTTAAGACCAATCCTTGTGTCTTTCAGAATCTAGATATCAGTTGTAACTAAATGATTAATTTTACAAAACTTGCATTTGAGAGATATTCCAATAAATCCAAGTAAAAATAGAAAGGTTTCGAGGTGGGGGGACATAATTAGATTTCCTGGGTATGCCATGACTGTTGAAATTGCTATGGGCATGAAATTGCCTGTTCTTCTGCAAAAGGTGGAAAGAACAAAGAAGGTATATTCACAATGGGTTCTTGCAATAACATCTTTGAACAGTGGTTAGAAAATATTCACAATTAGCTCTGGAGAGCTGTTGTGATGCAGTAGCAGCATCCCTATCTTTGAGCCAGGAGACCTGTTCAAGTCGCACCTGCTCCAGAGGTGTGCAAGAACATCCTTAAACAGGTTGATTAAGACATATCCACAATGGGCTGTGTGTGTTTAGTTTAAGAAAGGACAGAAAGCTGAAGGTAGAGTTAAATTAGAGGCTGCAGATTGGACAAATTTACTGATTGTTAGTTTTTCCAGAGCCAACCAAACTGTAGCATTGCTTGAGGGAAGCCTTGAGGGAGTCTTTGAAATATTTCCTTCGTCCTCCTCTTATGAGTGCAATCCTTGAACTGGGCAAAGATGATTTGCTTTCATATAAGGTGGCAAGTAACATTTTTGTGACATAGGCAACCACTATCTCCATTAAGAAAGTATCTGACCATCTCACTTGAATAGTATGATCATTATACACAATAAGTCACAACTAATTAGAAACAACTAGACCAACTACATAAATATTGTGGGTCACAAGAGCAGGTCAACAGCTGGGAATTCTGTACCAAATGACTCAACTCCTGACTCCCCACAGCATGTCCAGCTATCGAGGCAAAAGTCATGAATACTTGCCTCTGCCAAGTTGAGTGCAAAGACAATCAAAATGATGCCCTCCAGGACAAATAACCTGGTAGACTGGTACCTAATTCATTAACTTGAACATTCACTCTCTCCCACACCAATTGACAGTGACAGACAAAAGTACTTTCCAAATGATATGCACTGTACAACTCACTAATGGGTCTTCAATCTCACCTCTCAAATCAGTGATCTCTTCTATCTAGTAGAATAACAATAGTTGAATTTGAAACACCACCTGCCTGTTTCAAGTCACACACCGTCCTGATTTGGATCCTGATCTTTTCTTCATTGTTAGATAGTCAAAGCCTTGACAACACCCTAGCTATCACCCATGGACTGTAGTGATTGTAGAAGAACACCATCACCTACTGAAGAATTAGCAACAATTAGTGTCCTTGCCAGCAACGCCTTGCTCAAACACGAGTCGACTATCAGGAAACATATACCAAGGTAGTTCTGAACCTAACTGAAAAAGGTTCAACAGGACTACACCATTTCAATGGTAATTTTCCAGGAACATAAACTGGAATGAGATTGCCAGTGAAAGTGACAAGGGCCAAATCCACGTTTGCACATGGTGCCATACTTGAGCTGGGAGTGGCCAGTCTCACAATTTTGCGGGGGGTATGCTTCTGCTGTTGACCATTTAGAAGTGAAAATTACCTTTGGGTTATTCTTCATTTTATGATGATTTTGGTTTTGACAGTTCAAAAAAAAAAAATTTAATTCTTGGCCAGTTTGCTTAACAGCTGTCATAGGGAAGGTGTTGGAATTGATCATTTAAGAGATTAGAGGTGCACACTTAGCAAAACAAGGTAATCAGCAAGTTTAATGAAGGCACATGTTTCACCAATTTATTGGAGCTCTTTAAAGGCTCTACATGTACTGTGGATAAAGGGGAGTCTGTACTGTATTTGGATTTCCAGAAGGCAATTGATAAGTTATCACATCAAAGGTTATTGTGAAAACATGGGCTCATCGTGTGGGGATAACATCATATCACTGACAGAAAATTAGTTGGAAAGCAGAAACAGTGCATAATTGGGTCTTAGTCTGATTGTTAGGATATGACAAGAGGAGTCCCGCAGGGACTTCAATCTTTTATAATTTACATCAATGACTTAGAGCAAAGATGCAAATACAAAGTTATTAAACATGCAAACAATACCATGACAAGTAGAAAAGTATGTTGTGAAGATGAAATAATGACATTACAGATGGTAATTGATAGATTGAGTGCGTGGGCAATATCTGACAGATGCACTGTCATGTGCAAAAATGTAAAGTTGTTCATTTGACAAGAAAAATAAAAAAGCAGACTATTACGTAAATGAAGTAGAACGGTAGAATTCCAGGGTGCAGAGAGATTTAGTGTTCAGTGCAAGAATCACAAGGCGGCAGTATGCAGGCATAGTATGTAATCAAGGCAGCCAATAGATGCTAGCCTTTATTATGGGAGGAAAATAACAAAATTAGGGATGCTATGCATTTGAGGTCACACTCCAAATACTACATACAGCTTTGTTCTCCTTATTTAGGGATGGAGGCAAATGCACAGGTGGCAGTTCACAGGATGTTTACTAGATTGATATCTGGAATGACAGAGTTATAAGAATAGCTAATGTATGCTGAGCTAGTTTCCACAAGAGTTAAGAAGAGTGGCAGGTGACTTGATTGAAATGTTTAAGATTCTCAATGGCCTTGACAAGACAAATGTGGAAATGACATTTGCTCTTGTGGGGTGAGTCCAGAACTAGGGGAATTGCTTTCAGGACAGAGATGAAGAACTTTTTCTTTGAGGTTTGTGAAAATTTAGAACACATTTCATTAGGAGGAGGTGGAGGTGAGGTTATTGAATACTTCTAAGACAGAGGTGGATAGATTCTTGTTAGGCCAGGGAAACGAGGGTATCAGAGATCGATGGTAATGTGGAATTCAAAACACAAACAGATTTGCCATGATCTTATTTAATGGTGGATCAGGTTAGAGGGGCTGAATGGTTTACTTCTGTTCCTATTTTGTATGTTCTTGTGTCAGTGATTCCTTTTGCCCGTGTTGTTTGGGGATCCAATTCTTTTCAAGTTATTTGTCTCAACAGGGATCTCTACACAATTTTAACAAACAAGTTTCCACATTTACTTTAGCTACATTCATCGAGAATCATCATGACTACCATCAGCACTCAGACCTTTACAGAGTAATCAAAGAAACAGTTAACATAAAAGATAATTTGAAGGCTGTTGCAGATGAATTGCAGGTTGATTTAAAAATTAGATGCTACAAAGACGACATTGTTATGGAATTAGTTTCTCAATTGAAAATTGACAAGGAAAAGTACATTCTTGTTAATGATCAAGTAAAACTAGCAAAACCTAAATCAGAGAAAGAGGATGAAACTGGAATGGGCAACCAAAAATACCTTAAAAACATGAACTCGAATAAGACAAAAGATGTGAATTTAAAAAAAATA